TTGGGTGGGAGGGGGGCAATGCAACAATTTGTATTTCCTCTCACTTTTGCATGTCATTCAAACATTTTGGTTGACATCCCGTCAACGTGGACGTCGCTGTTGCTGCCGTCGCCATGGTGGATTTTGGTGTTTGGCCGCTGGCTGGCTTCTAAATGCATCGCACACACACACACAAACACACTGGGGGACACATGTGTGTGTGTGTGTGTCCGAGCATTCATTATTGCTGTTGCCTGCTCCCTCTCTCTCCCTCTCTCTCTCCCTCTCTCTTAGTTCACGTTCCTTCTGTCGCTGCATTGTGGCACTTATTAAAAATTTTCTGGTATTTTTTCCTGGTTTTGTTACAGTCCCCCCCACTCCCAGCCCCTCTCCACCTCTCTCTGTCGCTCCGTTGGGTCTTTGTTTCCACTGTCCTGACCTGCCACCCACCAGCGGCAGGGAGCGGAGAGAGAGGAGCGGGGACAGGGAGCACAGGGAATTGGTGGCCACATGGCACAACAAGACGAGAAGGAGAAGCGGAATCTTCTTTTGTTTATTTATCTCTTCGCTCGGTTTCGAATAACAAATCCTTTTGGCTTTACACATATTATGCGGTGCCAGAACCTATCCCTCTCCCTGTGTGTTTGTCTGTCGCCTGGCCCATCCCTCAGCAGGCAGCGTGCAGCGTGCAGCCGTTGCAGTTGACTCCACTTTTGTCAGGCGTATTGTTCGCTGCCCTTCCCTGCCCACGATCCACAATCCACAATCCACAATCCCCCACTGCCCATTGCCACAGCGAGACCCGCCCGAGACCCAAGCCGATCCGTCCCAATTCGTTCCGTTTCTTCTTCGTCGCTCCCCGTTGGCGGTTACTCTTCTTCTCTTTCTCTGCCGCTGCCGCTGCCGCTGCCGCTGTCTCTCTCTCTCTCTGCCTTTGCCCTTGCTGCCTTCGAGCTTTTCTCTTTTTTTATTGTTTGCCACACAGATTGTCATAGCTACAGACACTAACGTGTTTCTCTTTCTCTTTCTTGTTTTGTTTTGTTTTGTTTTGTTTTGTGTATCCGATTCCTGCCTGGGATACATTTTTATTGTGTGTTTTTGCTGTGTGGCTTGGCGCTTCTTCATCAATCTTGGTTGCTTTTTATGCTGCAAACAGGAGGTGAGGGCGCCAAATGTGTGCGGAGGAGGCACATTCCCATTGTTCCTGCCACTGTTTTGCCTGCACTCATTGTTTGTGCTTTGCGCCGTTTGCCGTTATTGTTGTGTCTAACTGCATAAATGTCAGCATCAGGATTGTCAGCATTGTCTCTCAAAACTCATTACAACAACTCCATCATCGTTATCGTTCTCATCTGTAGCCGTATCTTTCCATTCCACATTCATTGACGTGCATCCGCCCTCGGGCCCACTCCACGGCTGACACACTGCTCCACATGGCAGGAACTATTCGGCACTCCTTTTGGGTGGCTGAATTATTCACGAATCCCATCCCCGAGCTGTCACCCTGGGAGAGGACACCTGAGTCGATTCTAAGCCGTTTGCCCCTAAGATTCTTATACGGGCACACTGGCCGACCAGTGTGCCCCTTAAGCTGCTTTCCTCCTAGCTTTTGTAGGTGCAGGACGAACGGCTTAAGCCTGTCAAACTGTTGCACCTTAAATTGTGGTCGCCTGCCCTGCCCTGCCCAGTGCTGACTCTGGTCTCTGGTCTCTGGTTCCTTTTGCGACCTCTTATCGCGTCGCCAGTCTGCGCTTCACGCTCCAGAAGCGAAACAGGATGTGACATCCTTTTAAAGTCGGAAGTACTTATGCTCAACTCTCAACCTCCGACCTGAACTTCAACCTCAACCTGAACCTCAACCCCATCGGTTTCGCCAAAGCCAACGTCTCGTCGTCTGTCTTGCGTCATTTTTGTGCTACTTAAAAGTTGTTGGCAACATTAAAAAGCTGGCCCCCTCCTGCAGGACAATATGATGCTGCCTCGACAGGCACAGGGACAGGGAATGGATGGTCTGGCTGGCTGCCATCACATTTTGTTGTGCCCGAGGATTACCGCTGACCAGACGAGGCAAGAGCGAGGATAAGGCTCACAAGTCAGCAGCACAGTCGCAGCAGTTTCACTCTCGAATCGCAGCTGCCAAAGTGTTCCAAATCAATTTTCAACTCTGCAATTCTTTCTAGAACTTTGTCTGCGGAATGCCACTTGCCACCTGGCAGGACCCTTGGTCCTGTGTATTTTATTTGAAGCAGACACGCGACTGGTGCATATTTTACAAGCGTTACTGTGGGGGGGAACTGCTCGTCTGGGCTCTCGTTACAAATTGCAATAAACCGGGCACATCCGCTGCCATTAAGTGACTTCTAATCAACTTTATGGCATCATTTTTTGTTCGCTTTCGCCGCTCCGCTCAGGTGTTAATGATTCAATAACATTTGCCTCTGCGGTCGCTTTCGCTTTCGCTTTCGCTGTGTCCTGCCTCCCGATCAATTGTTGCGTGACTTTCAATTTGTAAAACATTTTCCCCCGGGCTCTCCCTGTGCCTGTCCCTGTGCCTGTGCCTGATTTCGTGTGCGGGACTCCCCTTTAAACCTAATCAATTTGGTTGTCTGCCCGCTGGCGGAAGCTGAAGCTGAAGCTCAAGTCCTGTCCTGTCCTCCGACTCGGGCATTAAAAGTAGTCATTAACTTTTAAATGAAGCAACGGAAACAAGATAAGCACGTGAAGCGACAGGCACGCCCACTCCCCACTCACCACTCCCCACTCACAAATGACCCATAATTATTCAATAAGAAATAATAAAGCCTGGGCGGAGACAGCAGCAAGGACTTGGCCAGCCACTTGCCGCACATTGATGGACAGGCTCGCCGGGTGGTGGCCAAACGATTGTTGCGTGACTGGCCAACTTGTTTGGTTGTTTGGTTGTTTGGTTGTTTCTTTTCACAGCTGACTGTTCAGTTGTTGTTCAGCCAAAAGGTGGACACTTCCAGGAAGTGTTTGCCCGCGATTTGCTCATAAATATTTCAATGCAATTCCAGACAAACAAAAACCTAATCTGGAATTGTAATGCTCAAGTTTCCAGCATAAACAGGAGCAAATCGGTGTGGGGGAGGGTTACGTGTCACATCATTAAAATCGACAAACAACTTTTGTCAAACAACAATTCAGCAGAAACCAAAAGTGTGCAAAATCTACAAAATTAATGAGTCATCGTAAAAGTTAACAACTTGCCCAAAATTGTTTATCTAAAGTGCTAAGCCTGCTGCCTGCCGCCTCTGACTATATCTAATATAAATTGATGTCCTCGATTGGATGCCTGTGCCTCATGCAGGGGCAGGAGCAGAACACGCAGACGTAATCACTTTTTAAGTGTGGCACAATTTATGATACATGGAAATGTGCTTGCTGCTTAGCTGCTGGCACCATCAACCGCATACCTGCAGCAGACTCAGGGATTGCTTTTGGTCTCGGGTTGGCTTTGGCCCCCGAAGGGACAACCCTTCTCTGCGGCAACCCCTTTGCCATTAGCCTCCCTCCTTCCTCTAGCCGCTGTTGTAGCTGTTGTTTCCCCTCGCCGTGTGCGCCATAAACACCTCAAAGTTGATGACATTTCATTAAGATCAAGCTGGGTGTGTGTGGTGGAAGTGGAACGGGTGGAACTGGCACCTGAGTCCGTGGAGCGGAGGCTGGAGGAAATGAATTTACTTATGGAGCATGAAAGTGGGTTTCTTTGGTTACTTCCTCCCCCCCCCCCCCCCCCCCCCCCCCCCCCCCTCGAGCCCTACGACATTGATGAACATTTTCGTGTTCATTTGGTTAAAAAGGTTTTTGCAGCGACGCCGGGCCTGCGTCGACGCATTGAATTTCATTAAAACAAGCCCAAAAGTGCTTTTACCTATCCCCCCACACACACACTCACATATGAGCTCTGCAGGCGGAGACTTATGATGGGCAGAAGACGTGAGAGAGCGAGACTAAGTGTTGCCGCCTTTCAGCCTTTCAGCCTTTATTGGTCTCCTTGATTTGCCTAAGTGATGTGCCAAAAGGTGTGTGTGTGTCAAAGGGGTGTAGGCTGGCAGACATTAAGCACCTTGTAGCCTTGTCGCTGACTCTTTGATGACTTTGATTGCAAAAGCCGCAAAAATATTTCACCATTCATCGCCTCTCTTCGCGCAATGTGCAAAAGCAAGCTCCTCGTGCTGCTCCTTCCTTGGTTGACTCGCGCTGTCCGTTAACCGTGTCCGTTAGTTGTCCGTTGTTGCCGCAGCGATCGCATTGAGGCTACAGTTCATTTTCCACCGAATACTGACTCAAGCAGCGATTTCCAATTGAAAGCTCTCAAAAAGCTGAGCTGAAACTGAACTTCAATTGAATGCCCAACCTCATGTATGCTCCAGTTGATCCGAAAGCCACAGGAGGAGCAATAAATGGCCAAAGCCACAGTCAATGATGGCAGCAAAGGGCCTTTCCATAAGCAAGATGCCAACGCATTCCGATTAACAGCAAACAAAGTCTAGCCAGAGGACTCCAGAATATTGTGCACCCAAAGTGTGAGAAATCGGAGAGCGCACCTCCCGCACAGGCGGAAGAAGTTGGGGAGCATGTTGCTGGCAACATGTTGCCAACGGAACGACGCCCCCAAGCACGGAGCCGAGCCGCGAGTGCTGCGAGTGCTGCGAGTGCTGCTCGTCTCGTCATCGGATTCGTCTGACTTCGCTGCGAAATAGCGGGACAGGCACGAGCGGCGCTGCCGAAGAACGAGCGCGTTGTGTTAGGTCGGTCCAATGCGAGCAGAGCTTGGCGCGACAGGTTCAGTGCTCGGGCAACTTCCTAGCGCGTCGGTTTGGCTCAGTCACAGAACGCAACTTCCTTCAGCTCTCGTGAGCCGTGGCAAGCTCAACACACATTTGAAAACCATTTTCCAGCAGCGACTCAAATCAAATCAAAATCAAATCAAATCAAAATCAAGCCAAAAGCATAAACAAAATCAAGAAATCAACAAAGAAAAAGTGCAAACTGCTCAAACATAGAGCCAAATCGAGCGAGAACTGTCTCAAAAGTGGCGAAAAGCCGAAGAGTATTTCGAATATTTGCGGTTTCCTTTTTTGTTAAGTGAAAGAGCGAAAAAAACAAAACACAAAGCCACCAAATTGTTTTTGCATCATTTTTTTTCGAGTGTTTGGCAGCAGGTGTTTGGACAGCGTTTTCGTGGGGAACGGCGGCACAGGTAATCAAATCCCAAGATCTTCATTTCAAAGAGATTGGCGAAAGTTTCTAGCGCTGATCAAAACCGAGTGCACTGCCATTTCGATCACTTGGCCTTAGATTTATCTTGCAACGATCTTGCAACTCCAGCATTTCCTTGTAGTTCCTGTTCCCTAATCAAGGCTTTGTGCACTTTTAATATCAATTTGCCCTGTCCTGCCCGTTCGTGCATTCAGTCATTCATTTGTTCGCCTGCTTTCTGCACACATTTCATGGATGGTTTTGTATATTTTAAAATTCATAAAACGCCTTTTGCCACTCGACTTGCAGCTTCTGTTGCCGACTTATGCCCACCCATTGATGTTCATTTGTTGGTTTATTTATCATTTATGCTTCTAATTGCATTTGTCTTTTAATCACTTTGTTTTCCATTTGGCTGCACGCTTGACTAGTTGGCGGAGTTGTTAACTAACTGAAAGGCATTCCTCGGACAAAAGGTGCCAAAAAACTGAAACTGCACTTCCTGCCAGCCAGCCTTGAGCCCCGCCCCTCATGCTGGGCAGCAGGATTTATGTTTTATTAATATTAAAACTGATTTATTGGCCATTAGGCAATTTGTGAGCAAAACTTGGCCATGGCCAGGTGAAACCTTCGCCGTGGGCTGCAAGCGAGACTTATTTTAATTACAGCCTCAGTGTCCTTTGGCGCTGCCTTTGCCGTTGCAATGTGGCAGGATCTTTATGTTTGCTTAAGCGGCAGTCCTAGAGCAGTGCCCATTAAGCCCGCGTTGGTCCGAGCTGAAGCTAAGCTGCAAAGCGAGATTAAAATTATAAATGACAGCGAAACTGACAGGGACAGGGACAGGGACAGGACGAAGGAAGCATCTGCTCCTCTCTCTGTCTCTCTGTCTCCGGTTTTTAATGAAAATTAATTAATCAAATAACATTTTTCACTCATTCGCCCCGTGGTCCCGCCAGTTTGCTCGTCTGCCTTTGCGTGTGTGTTTCCTCCGTGCATTTTGCATTTAATATTAAAACGACCCACAGCTGAGAGACACTTTGAATGAAATTCGAGTTCTTATCGAGCGGCAGATAAGCGCATTCCTGGCTCCCTAAGGAGTACAAAATGCAAGCCGAAAGTCATTTACTTCACGAGTGAAACTGGCGGGAGATCGCAATATTATTTTAGCCTCTGAATCACTTCTTCTTCTCGTACCAGGATCTTCTATAATTATATTATTCACGAGCGAAATCCGTTGGCGAATAAACCAAAATGAAGAGAACACTCGCGGCCCAAGTGTACTCGTATTTTGGAGTTAGTTTCCATCAATGGAGAGTGCAAGAGCCCAAGTGCTAATTATTTGGTAATGGGATATGGCAGCGAGCGTGGATTGATGGCTGATGCTGATGTGGCCATCAATGCACGATTCGGGCAGCGTTCGGGTTACGTGAATGACGGGAATTTAAAACTAATTAGAAATAGTTCTCGGCCAACAAAGGAAATTTGAACTGTAATTAAGAGTCGCGGGCAGGCAGGACCCTTTTCGTTTGAAGCCTTGCAATTGCCCAAGGAAATTAACATAATTCCACAGCAACGTGTCACAGTGAAGCGGAAACTGACACAATTAAAAACGCATCAGAGTGTGCACATTGGAGCGTGATGGATATGCGGCAGTGGTCAGTGGAGGGGCAAACGAGGGGAGTAAAGCGAGCACTTGCACTCGAACAAAAGGCACAAAGCGCAGCCACATGGGCAATGGGCGGGATAGAAAGAAAAGAAAAGAAAAGCAAAGCAAAGAAAGTGGCACAAACAATTGTGTGTGGTGCGAGCGAGTGGCTTTGGTTACAGTTACTCTAAGAACAGAGAGGGCCGCTGGGCCACTGGGCCGCCGTGCGTATGCGTAATGTGGCAATAAATGAGAAATTAGAATGGAGAAGGCCCGAGTCTGATCTGTGCCACATGCCACCTTTATTGCTCACAGTTTTGCCTTGCATGTTTAGCTGCAATCAGCGCGTGGAGTGGATCGTTTACACAAAACAAATAACGCAAATAAAGCGAAGTCCTGAGCACACACAGAAATATCTATTTAAATGTCAACAATAAATGCCGCAACAAGACGGCGAACCACTTCATTCGGCGGCACGTGATGTCACCTTCGCCCCTGCAACTGCCATCGGGAGTGGCTTTAAGTGTGTGGCTTGCCTGACTTCTCCTTCGATTGCAAATCGATTTCACGGCACAGAACTGGCCAATTTCCATGCACAATAATTTTAAATAATATGCTGTAAATTTTGCTCTCATTGCGGTGGCTCGGGGTGGAGCTGCTCGCGGCTCGCGGCTGTGTTTGCCGCGAAATTTAATTAAAACGATTTTCCAATACCAAACCAAAGGGGGGGTTAGCTCTCTCTCTCTCTCTCTCTCTCTCCCCTAAGCGATTTTTGTACGCGCTTTTTTTTTTGTTTTATCATTAATTTAAAAATGTTTCGGAACCCTTTTCAACTGACAAAATCGGGACACAAGCAGAGGACACACACACACATGTGTCTGGCCGTAAAGTTTGCTTTCGTTTGAGGTTTGCCTTTGCCACTCGCTTGCTGAAAACATGGAAAAGGATGTCCCCCTGTGACGTTGACTCATTGCACTGCCAGCACACACACAGCAACAAGTCAGCGAATCATGTTTTGGCTCTGGCATTTTGTGGATTTGCAGAAAGTTAACCTCAGACGCTGCTGCTGCTGCTGCTGTCCCACTGCCCCCTCTTCGGCTATTTGTAGCATTTAATACATATTCTCATGCTGAATGCGGTTTGCCCTAGCTGCCTCCCGCTTGTCACTTGGCTCCCACCATAGCTCATTCCTGGCTCTGCGTTTGGCAAGCAAATTGTTGGGACCCATCCTGGCATCCAGTCACTTGACACTGTGCCCAGCATACTTCTGCAGTCAAACGTAAAAATGATCCATGTAGCCAGGCACTGCTGCTGCTGCTGAGTATTCTCTGAATTGTGGCTGACCTCAAAGGCAGGCGTTTCCTTCCTTGCAAGTCCCACAAGTTGGGGGAATTTATTTCCATGTTGCGTGACAAAAGAAGGCACCCAAGCTACAGGAATGCCAGGAGCATCATTTCATTTCGAATGTATATTAATATATGTTCTTTATTATGCATTTGGGACTGCAGCTGTGTGTAAATCTGTCTTTGGGCAGCGAAAAGTTCATTTGCCCCAAAAAGTAGGCAACGGATTTCAGCATGTCAACAGCCAGCAGACAACATCAGCCACAATGTGTGCTGTGCTGTGGTGTGGTGTGGTGTGCTGTGGCACAGGTGTAGAAGCCAGTCCATGCCAGACGACAGTTAATTTCCTATTTGATATTTGCTGTTAATCTAATAAATTTGCACGTTGACTAAATCGACAGGCAGACAGGCAGGCAGGCAGACAGGCGACGAGCAAATGAATTGAAAGGCAAACAGACAGATGGACAGCTTGTGGGTAGATATGTAGGTTGATCTGTCCAGCTGTGCAGTGCATCCCTCTCAATCTCGAAATTAATCTTATTTAGCCTACAAACTGCACTGTCCCGACACAGCCACAAAAGTAACTCTCGTGTAATCCCTTTGTCACCGTTCATGACTTGGCAGCTCGGAGGAGACAGCAGAATGGAGCGTGGAGCGTGGTGCTGCTTTTGCTGCTCATAAATTCCCCTTGCCCCTTGGTATGCCGATTGCTCGCAAAGTTTCCAATTGGTTTAAGGGATAATCCATCCATCTTTTGGCCTCCCCTTCTGTCCCGTCCAGCAACACTTTCCATTCGTTTTCTTTGTTGTTCCTTGTCTTGACTTTGGCACAGATTAAAACTGAAGTTGAAGTGGTCAGGCGCCCGCCGTCTGGCTTGCCCCCGCACGGGGACTCTCATCTCAGTTACTCGGCAATTACACGGCAGAGCGTGAAAAGGTGTCGGTTGCTGGGGTCGCTCGTTTGTTTGCATACCTGGCCAGCTGGTGATAACAATAATCCTTGACAAGCCATAAACATCTTAACGTCCTTGTGCCCCACCGCCAACCCATCGGCAGACAAATAGACTAAAGTTACAAATGTCGCCGGGGAGCTTGAGGAGGTCCTTGAGGGCTTGAGGTTGCTCTTTTGCGCTTTCAAAAATTGTAAACCCAACGACCCCAGTCGCAAAGTCAATTTGAATGTTTGTTCGCTTGTTTGTCTGTGGGGTCGGGTTGGGTTGGGTTGGGTTGGGTTGGGTTTTCGATGCTGCCAGTGTCCTCGGTCTGTGTGTCTCGGCTCACCCTCGGGTCAGAGCCCTTGAATAAGCAGCTAATTCGTTTATTATTTTTATTGTTGCGCTGACATTATTTACGTAAGCTGCTCGTCGTCAGCCGCTCCACTTTGGAGGAGACACAGAGGACTCTTTATTATATTCATTTCCATTTTATTTGCCCATTTGCAAGTTTCCATCCTTTTCGGCCACTCTTGGCCTCTGGCCTCTGGGCCTCTAGCTCGGATGTCGTGTCCTGACTGCCGAGTTATGCCTTTATTTGGCACTTGACGCCAATTGCTTTGACTCAACCGAACCAAACCGAACCGAACCGAACCGCACAGAGCTGAGAAGTTCGCTTATTGACTTGGCCCCGGCTATTGATGCAGCTTATTACGGATTAGGGATAACGAGGGAAGTCGAGGGTTTTCGGCTCATTGAAATTGACAACTCGGCAATGACAACAACACACCGAAAGCTTAACGAGATCTGAGTGCAGCGGGGGGACTGGCACTGGCAATCCCTGCGAACACAATCCCCCCCCCACTTCGATCTGCTTCGGTTTGGTCTGGTCTGGATCAAGGGGCTGCTCCAGCACAAGCGATGAACAAATGCAGCTGCACATCAGTGTTGCCCTCACTGCGGGTCATAAAAGAGCTAAGCTAGCTGGAAATAGCCAAGCAAATGTAATGGCCGCCACTAAAAACCGCTAGAGTGGGGAAAGGTGGAAAATAGCTATAGTTCCCGCTAGCTTGGCAATTGCAAACTGCTAGATCTAGTGGGGAAAATAGCCAAACTAGCAGCACTGCTGCACATTCGCTGAGGCAGCTCAGCGGCTCAGTGGCGCTCAATTAGACATGGGCGTGGCTAAGCGTGCGTCACAAGTAACAACTAACGAAAAAGGAGACGAAAGGCAAAAGGAAACCTAAGAAATAGAAGTAATCCAAAGTTGTAGCAGAGGGGAAAATAAAAATATGACACGAGTTCGGAATTTATCAACCGTCAACCCCGCTCCCCACTCCACACTCCTCACCTACTGCTATATTTTTATGAGTCTGTTGACCGCTTTGACAGTCACGCATATTCATGAATATCTGCAGGGGGGAACAGGAGAGGGGGGCGACGCTTCTCGGTCCCTCTGCCTGTGTCTGTGACGTGGCTGCGAAGCTGTGGAAACGGTACTCCATCTCCATCTACCTCTCCCCCTCTCCCCATCTCTCTGACTACGCAGATGGTGTGACGTTTTTGCGCCTCTGGCTGCAACTACATGGCACTGGCTATGACTGCTCATTTACACTTTGGCCCATGTCCCGCCTTCCCCCCTTTAGTGACCGGCAAAATCTGTCGCCTCAGCACTAACATCAGAACGAGGTGATTGGCAAGGGGCAGAGGAGAGGGGGACACTGCTTTAGTGGATTATGATGCGAGGTACCAAACGGCACGAAGGAAGCGACAAAGAGCAAAGACGAAAATGGAAAATAAATTAAAGCTGCAGCTGCAGCTGATGAGTGCCGTTCGAATAACGAAGAGTTTTGTTTTGATAAAATGGTCAGGGTTTAGGGTTATGTTTACAACAACAATACGGAATATTCATGCCATACGTGTTTCACATTTGTTCTTGTTCGAGGCTGCCACTTATTGTCCATTGATTTACAGGGTGTGTGGCTGGTTGGGAGCCAAGAGAATGCTGCAAGAAATCCACTCAACTGAACTAAACTTATTTGTCTTTCATATGAGAGTGTGTGTACGTACATACATTTGTGCTTGTGTTTTGGCTTTTGCTTGTGTCTTTTTTCTGTGTCTCCCTCTTCCTCTCTGTCTGTGGCTCTGTGTCTCTGTGCTGCTAAGCAAATACAGTTATACTAGTTGTACAGTTTGACTCTGGCTCCCTCTCCCCCCATTCTCTCCCCCGGCATTCCATTATCACGTCTGCCCAAAGCCACCACCAAGCGCCGCGAGAAGTAACTTTTGCTGACCATGACACGACCACATACACAGAATAGTTGTAGTTGTTGGTGTCGGTGTCGGGGGGAAGGGGTACAGAGAGGCGTGGTGGATGCGTTGAAGAAGTGTGTGCGGATAGGGGGAAGGGGTAGCAAGATGACTTTGCTGTGCAGGGAGTGGGGAGTGGGGAATGAGCACGTTCCATGGCCGATGGTCAGATGTCATTTGACCCAAACACACAGCGCAGACCCCCCCCCCCCCCCCCCTCCCACCCCCCCCCACTCCAATCCACCACACTACACCACCCCACCACACCCTCCCATCATTTCTCTATCTCCCGCCACTACATCCTCTCC